CCTGAGCTGGTTCTGGGCTGGTTCAGGATTGTTCAGTGTGCTGAGCTGGTTCTGGGCTGGTTCAGGATTGTTCAGTGTGCTGAGCTGGTTCTGGGCTGGTTCAGGATTGTTCAGTGTGCCTGAGCTGGTTCTGGGCTGGTTCAGGATTGTTCAGTGTGCCTGAGCTGGTTCTGGGCTGGTTCAGGATTGTTCTGTGTGCCTGGGCTGTGAGGAGAGCTGCTGACACTTTCCATGGAGTTCAGAGTTATTTCCCAATGCAGTGCAGAATGTGGGGAATAGAACAGCTCAGACTGAAGGCGTCGGGGTGGCCTGGGAGACACCTGGGTGACACCTGGGTGACATCGGGGTGACATCGGGGTGACATCAGACGGGTCCTAGGAGCAGAGGGAAGGAGCAGCTGTGCCCAGCGGGGTTTGACAGGTAGGGCAGGTCTGGGGAAAGGGCCCCGGGAGCTCCTTCCCACCTGCAGCCCTGATCAAACACCTCGGCGGGCGGCCCGGGGGCAGCCGTGCTGCAATCGCGGCAACCCCAAACAATCGTGCCTTTCACGGCGGCCCCATAACAATCCCAACAGTATGGAAGGGCTGCCATGCAAGAATACACATGCACATTCTCCACTGCGGGGGAACTGAAAGCCCGAGTGAAAAGGGGCTTGTTAAGAATATGTAGCCTGCTTTCATAATCACCCCGTCAAAGAATAGGCCCTTGAAAACAAGGCTTTAGGCTTATAGAAGGCTTTCTGTGCCTTGACCTTGCAAATATGCGGCGATGCCAATTTTTTTTTTTTTTTGCAAGTGAACTTGGAGTCTCGCAGCGTGGTGCCGGAGCAGTTGGCAGGAGAGGGGGGTAGGAGGTGCGGCCCCGGGATGTTCCGGGGGTCACGGAGCTGTTCCGTGGGGGACCCCACCAGCAGGGCATGGATTGGCCTTTTCTTCCCCAAAACTGGGCTCTGCTGCGTGGGAGGATGAGCCAAGCCCAGGGCAGAGCTCACCTGTGGGTGACACGTGTCCTGGGGGTTCTGTGCCCAGTTTGGGGCGGTTCTGGAGGATGTGGCTGTCCCGTGGGTGTCACCGCCCTGGTTTTACAGACGGGGAAGTTGAGGCAGAGCTGGGAAAGGCAACACATCAGTGTGTGTTGGTTCCTTGATGCTTCCAAGGACACGGAGGCTGTAGTGCCCACATGGAGGAGTCACACAAGTGACATTTCTGTGCTGGTGACAGCCACCAGTGGGACACTCTGGTCAGAGTCTGGTGTGATTTTCCCTGGATGTGCTTCCGTGGGACCAGCTGAAGTTTGTAGGCTGGGGACGAGCCGCAGGTTGTCCAGCTGGACACAGAATCCCAGGATCACCAAGTCCAACCTGTGCCTGATCCCCGCCTTGTCACCAGCCCAGAGCACCGCGTGCCACATCCTTGGGCACCTCCAGGGGTGGCAAAACTCCGGCCAGATGGGATCTGACTCCACCACCTCTCTGCCACTTACCCACCTTTCTTCTCCTCTCCTGGGAGACCCCAAGCCCCTCACCCCACGGATTTTCGTGTCGGCTCGTGCCCGTGTCCCTGTCCCCGTGTCCCCGTGTCCCTGTGCCACCCGAGGCCGTGTCTCTGTGCCTGTGTTTTGCAATGTATTCCCTTGCAGCCGGGGGAAGCCTTCCAAGAATCCCCACCTATTTCCGTCAAAAGGCGCCTTTGTTCCCCCGGACACAATGCGGCTTTGATTCCTCCTGCTCGCCCGGAGCTGCGGGAAGGTGTGAGCTGCGCACGGCCGGGAGGGACGGATTTCCCCGGGGATGGAGTATCCCGTGGGGTGGAGTATCCCGTCCATGGGAATATCCCTTGGGATGGAGTATCCCCTGGGATTGAGTATCCTCTGGGATGGAGCATCCCTCGGGATGGAGTATCCTCTGGGATGGAGTATCCCCTGGGATGGAGTATCCTCTGGGATGGAGCATCCCTCGGGATGGAGTATCCTCTGGGATGGAGTATCTCTTGCATGGGAATATCCCTCAGGATGGAGTATCCCCTGGGATGGAGTTTCCTTTAGGATGGGAATATCCCTTGGGATGGAGTATATCCCTTGGGATGGAGTATATCCCTTGGATTGGGAGTATCCCTTGGGGTGGAGTATCTCTTGGGGCAGAGTGTCCCTCAGGATCCCTCAGGATGGAGTATCCCTTGGGATGGAGTATTTCTTGGGATGGAGTATCCCTTGGATTGGGAGTATCCCTCAGGTTGGACTATCCCTCAAGATGGAGTATCCCTTGGGATGGAGTATCTCTTGGGATGGAGTATCCCTTGGATTGGGAGTATCCCTCAGGATGGAGCATCCCTCAGGATGGAGTATCCCTTGGGATGGAGTATCCCTTGGGATGGAGTATCCCTTGGGATGGAGTATTTCTTGGGATGGAGTATCCCTTGGATTGGGAGTATCCCTCAGGTTGGACTATCCCTCAGGATGGAGTATCCCTTGGGATGGAGTATCTCTTGGGATGGAGTATCCCTTGGATTGGGAGTATCCCTTGGGATGGAGCCCCCTCAGGATGGGACTGTCCCTCGACCTGGCTTTATTTGGAGACCGGAGGCGAATCCCTTCCCTCTCCTGGGGGGATCGGGGTGCCCCGAGGCGCCCCTGGGGTGGTGCCCGCGCAGGGCACGGGGCCAGTCCCGGTACAGGGCACGGGGCCAGTCCTGGTACAGGGCACGGGGCCAGTCCTGGTACAGGGCACGGGGCCAGTCCCGGTGCTCCCAGCCTGGCACGGGGCCAGTCCCGGTGCTCCCAGCCTGGCACGGGGCTCTCCTCATCCCAGCGGGATCCGAGCCCCTGGGAAAGGCTCCCGGGCCCCACGGCGGGCGGAGGTGGCCGGGGGGAGGCCGGGGTGGTCCCGGGGCTTGCAGAGCAGGTCTGGGCGGGAGCAGGAGGGGCTGGGGCCGGGAGAGGCTCTGGGGACGTTCCCGGCCCGGGGGTCCCTGCTGCCCCCCGAGACCCCCGGGCGGGGCCGGCCCTGGCCCGCGCTGGAGCTGCCATGGGAACACCTCCGTTCTGGGAAAAGGGATAAAATCCTGCCCTGGGCTGGCAGGGATTGCAGCCCCAGCTGTAGGGCTGGGGTTGTTCCTGGATTTGGGGGGCCCGGATGGATTGTGCTGGGGTTATTCCTGGATTTGGGGAGCCCAGATGGATTGTCCTGGGGTTGTTCCTGGTTTTGGAGAGCCTGGGTGGATTGTCCAGGGGTTATTCCTGGTTTGGGGAGCCTGGGTGGATTGTGCTGGGGTTATTCCTGGATTTGGGGAGCCGAGATGGATTGTCCTGGGGTGTTCTTGGTTTTGGACAACCCACATGGATTGTGCTGGGGTTATTCCTGGTTTTGGGAAACCCAGATGGATTGTCCTGGGGTTGTTCCTGGTTTTGGGGAGCCCACATGGATTGTGCTGGGGTTGTTCCTGGTTTTGGGAAACACATGGATTGTGCTGGGTTATTCCTGGATTTGGGGAGCCTGGATGGATTGTGCTGGGGTTATTCCTGGTTTTGGGGAGCCCAGATGGATTGTGCTGGGGTTGTTCCTGGATTTGGGGAGCCCAATGGATTGTGCTGGGGGGTGTGTGGGAAGGAGAGCAGGAGGACTGCAGGGACAAACCCCTGATGGTTTCTCCTGGATCTCCCCCCTTCCATCCCTTCCTCCTGCCCCTCGGGGGTCAGCGTGGGGGTCCCTATTCCCGGTGGGATCGGGATGGGGGGAGCTCCCCCCCTTCCCACACAGACCCCTCCATTCACAGCTCCCTCCCCGGTAATTTGTTGTGGCCAGGAGCAGCAATAGCTGCTTTGTGCTGAGCGAGGGAAGGAGGAAAAAAAAACCCCGGAGCCCAGACAGCGGCTCCAGTGTTCTCCAGCAGGGATGGTTTTCCCCCTCCGTCCTCCCTCTCTTTGCCTGGAATAATGTTTGTGATTGTAATGGCCTGTCCTGCCCAGGGAAACCCGGAGCCTCTCCCCCTTCCCCTCCCCTCCTCTGTAAACCCTGGGAGAAGTTTAAACAACCCGGAGAGGTTTTTCTCACCGGGCTTATTTTACTCATAGGAAACGAGGGGGTGAGAAAAGGGAGCTGGCAGCTGTTGGCAGAGCAGGAATGAGCTTGGGACAGGCTCTGGGATCTCTCTGGAGACCCCTCAGAGCCCGAGCCCGGCGTGCTCCCACTCTTGGTGTCCCCCAGTGCCACCAACACAGCCCAGCAAAGCTCCAGCCAGGCTGGAGAAGCTCCCAGTGTGGGACAGGCACGTGTGGGGAGCCCAGGGCACACACACGAGCCCTGCTTGGTGCCTGAAACATTCCCCAAAATCCCAGACCCAGGCACAGCTCCAGGAGGACCCAACGGGAGCTGCTCAGGGAAGGAATTCCTCCCTGTAAGTACAAAATCCTTCCCTGAGAGGGTGGGGAGGCCCTGGAATAGAATTCCCAGAGCAGCTGGGGCTGCCCTGGATCCCTGCAGTGCCCAAGGCCAGGCTGGACAGGGCTTGGAGCCAGCTGGGACAGTGGGAGGTGTCCCTGCCATGGCAGGGGGTGGAATGGGATGGACTTTAAGATCCTTTCCCACCCAAACCATTCCAGGATTCTGGGATTCCATGACTGACAGACAGCCCTGCTCTCCCCTGCCCTGAGTTTGACCCTGGAAGTCCAAGTGTTCCCTTTCCATGGGATGCAAGAGGGGGGAAAAGAGAGAAAAGAGGTACCCAGGTTTGGGAATGCTGCAGCTCCCGGGAATCCTCGGGCTGGAATCCCTCCAGGGGCCTCCCAGGACAAATCTCTTCTCCCTCATCTGCTCCCTGCCTGATGATGGGGCTGATGGAAGCTCTGGAGCTGTTGGAGGATGGAATTTGCTGGGGTCCTGTTAAATTTGTCCACTGGGTCTGGGAGCAATTCCACTGAATCCTTAATCGTGCTCCCTGCAGCCCATCCTGGGCTGAGCCTTGCCCCTGACATAAATAAATTGATCTATTTGTGCTTTTTTTTAGGAACTTGGCCATTGGCATTGGGGTGCAGAACTTCCCTGAGGGCCTGGCTGTCAGCCTGCCTCTCCGTGGCGCTGGATTTTCCACGTGGAAAGCCTTCTGGTGAGCTCTGCCTCTGCTCCCAGGGAAGGAGCCTTCAGCAGCTCTCCTCCCACAGATCCCCCACACCCATGGGCTGTTCCATCAGGGAGCTGCCCTTGGGATGTGTCAAAGACCACCCTGAGTTGGGGAAGTCTCTCCTCCAGCCCGAGCT